TCAAAAATAAAACTAATATACTAAATTTGTATTTAATTAATTGTAAGGATGAGATTACATTGTGAAATGGCCACGACGTACCACGGATCGTTAATAAGCAACGGAATCAGAATAATCAGATCAGTACAATTTTGTATCTATATTTTCAACCACTACATCATTACAGTACATAGCCAAACACGAAACGCAGTCGCCATGGAAGTGATTTTTCGTTTATAAATATTTGTATTATATAATTTGTAATTATCTTGAACTGTAAAAGTATTTCCATGTTTTACAATTAAGGTTAAAACTAATTTTGAATTCGGAAAAAATATTCTGTGAAAACTATGATTATGCTGAGAACTTAATTTTACACCGTATACTGTATTAGTATTGTAAAACCACTGTAAATTTTGAGTGACATTTAATTTTAATTTTTTGATGTTTTAATGAATTCTATTGTTTTTCGACATGTTCACATAAATTTAAACTAGCAAATTTTACTTATCAACGAAAGTAGCGCAATTATATATCAGTGAATAATCGATACGATTACAGTGAAGCTGGGTTCTAAAACTGAGACTGATTTCTAACGTATGTAAACATATAGTGACGTGAAACACGTGTTATAAAACAGGGTCACTGGCGTGTTAATGAAAGGCGCATATGTTTATACACTGAAGTCAAACCCATGGCACAAGTTTATTTTAACAGAGAAGTACCGCTATTGCGTTTGTGTCGGCGGAAATTGAAAAGTAGAATTGCGCCCTCTGCATATTATACGATGTGACATATCAACTTATATGAAGTCGTCACAGATAAATATAAAACCATAATATTTCCCTGAAAATATATTGCGACCTGAACATTTTCAAGGCGACGAAAATTCATATGTTCCAGAGCAATGTTATATTATTTCGACCATACTCAAAAGATCTGCTAACTTTGTTACAAAAAAAATGAAGACGTAGTTTCCGCAATTAAAGACAACTATCATACACTGTGTCTCACATTCATGCAGGTTTGGTGCATCGCGTTCCTCCATTACAAAATGTAAGTGCCTTTTAATTATATATAAATTCTATTTTTAATACAGAGGTTAAGGCAAAGTGATAATATGATAGTGATAGTACTAACAATAATTAGTGGAAGATTAGTTGGTTAATAATCGTGAAGCAGATTGATTAAAAATCATTGTAATACTTATTTTGTTGTTCCATATTTTAGAACATGTGAATGAAGTACTGAATATGCCCATAGTTGTCTCAACTCGTGGAACATGTGAATGAAGTACTGAATATGCCCATAGTTGTCTCAACTCGTGGGACATTAATATCACCACTATATTTCCGTCCAATCTGATTAAAATCCGATGTAGGTATGAGGCTCCAATTTTTATTTTTTTAAACATTGTTTATGTTTGTTTATA